TCAGAGAAAGCTGATGAGTTCATCACCTCCCTTCTTTGCTACAACTGGGGACCAAGGGCGTGTAACTCATTACAAGGGCTCTTCTCTAGTCTAGCTGCATCGGTGAGCAAGGGACTCAGGAGAAGGCTATGGGGAGGGGATGCAGGCAGCCACAGGCAGAAGGAATCAGGAAGAGCAGTCCTCCTGGCTCCAGATTAAGGAAGGAGCCCAACCTTCAGAACAACAAATGTTAGGGCGAGGCCACGGTGCTTCCAGGGCCCAAGACTGGAAATGAACAAAGGAGTGGGGGGGCGCTGTCGGCATCTCATCAGGACCAATGGAATACAGTCAACAGTCTGGGAAGCTGATGAGAGGCTCACCTGGCCTGCACAGCCAACCAGAAGCCCAGAGCTGGGTCAGGTTAATGAGGCACCTAAATCCCGTTACTTAGCCTTCATTAGCCAGGACTCCAGTCTCTGCGTCCTGCCTTCAAACGCCAGTGCCTGAGATGGCAAGTGCCTCGGTGGCAAGGCCAGGGAGGTGCTAGGGACTCCCAGAAGCAGCAGTGTGTTCTCCTTTCTAATGTGGATTTTCACTAATTTGAATTCCTGATCTGAGAAAGCAAGGATTCGTCTGAAAGAAGAGAGCATTTGGGAATATGTTCCTAGTAACAAATGTAGCTTGACAAGGAGTCATTCTCAGGCCTGTAGCCACGGAGAGGCAGGTGGCTTAGTAGGTTGAACCATAGGAAATTGCCAATATTCGACTGGTTTTGATGTACAACCGCACACGCACGCACATACACGCACACACGCACACAATTTTCTCCACAAAGGGAAGCGATCTAGCAAGGTGAGGCTCATCAGTGCTGGACCTTGGGTTCCAGGACCATACATTTTGAAGTTAAAGGGTTTCCCACTTCAGGTAGGGAAGAAGGTAGCATCCCCCTCAGTTCGTGGTTGGACTCAGAGGTCCAGAGAGGGAAAGAAACATTTGCAACTTCACCCAACTAGTATGGAGGCAGCTCAGGTCACCACTAGCCTGCCGCTCCTGCCACCACAGTCCCTTCGGGTCACAGCATGCTGCGGGCTGCTCTCACCTCTGACCCGGGGCCACAGTCTCTGGCAGAGCTTTCGGGAAAAGCCTTGCACTACAGCAAGGGCAACATCTGCTTTGTCTCCCAAATCCTTCAAGAGGCAGTGGAGTGTTTCTCACCTGCCTGAAGGGGGGCCCTCACATACCTGAGTCAAAAGTACAGGCTTAATTAAACACACGAGGAAAAGGTCAAGGCTCCCTGAAGCATACCATTCACAGCCATCCGGCCTTCAGAGTCTGCTGCTCTGTGCTTTTGTTAAAAGCGAGCTTGAAGAGTTAGCAGTGCTCAGGAGGTGTCTCCCTCTTTGTGGGGGGATGGAGGGAGGAGGGGGTCTCCATTGTGGGGACTGAGGAGTATGAGCGTTGACAACAAGCCACACCTAGGTGCCTTTGGGGTGTCTTGTTGTGTCCCTGAGCAACCGTGGTCTGAGGGAAAAGGGGCCTTGCAAAGAGCCTCACAGTAAGACATGTGTCTCAAGGGTCAGCAGACCTTCTCACAAAGATTCTTCCAGGAATTGGTCTGCTTCCAGTCTCTAAACAAAGCAGACTCTGGGAATGACTCCTAAAAAATCCGAGGCCCCCAACTGTCATTCCGATGCTGCCTCCAGCCTCCCCATCTCCTAGTTCCTCCTTCCTAAGACACTAATGGTGAGGGCCAGCCTGATAAGTGGGTGGAGTAGAAAGGATGCTTATAAACACCAGGTGCTACATAAATGCAGAAGAACATGTGTCTGACCATGGCCCCCGTGGTAAACCAACTCCAAATCGCTACTCTTCCAGAAACCAAAGGAAGGAACAGTAGGCAAGTCCCTTAGAGGCAAAAGTGGTGAGAACCACACTGTTAATGTCAGCAGTCCATCCTAATGGCCTGCAGGGAGCTGCGTGCTCTGCTGACCTGCTCGGATACATGTCCTCATTTGCCCTTGACAGGGAAGCAGGTAATGGTTGCTTTTACAGGAAGGAAATTTGAGAGGAGCTAAAAACCAAGCCTGAGGCCAGAGACCAAAGCAGAAAGTGGAAGAGAGCCACCTTGTTCGGGGCTCAAGAGCTCAGTGCCTGACTCAGCAGCCAGCCCAAGCAGCTTTTCAATTTCTCTTCCTTTGAATTTCTTCCTCTTTAAGCATTTCCTCTTCTCTACCAGCAAGTATATCAGGACAATGATGCAATTTTGTAAAGTCAGGAGGAAAGGTTAGCATTATTCTGAGTTGACCCATGTAAAACATCATCATCACCACCTTCATCATTACCACCAGACCCTTGGGATACTACAGGATGCGAAGTGAAGAACATCCACCAAAGCTTCTTAGAAATAACATATTGGGAAAATGGGGACATCCACTCAGCCCCTGGCAGTGGCCTGGGTCCCCAAGGGTGTAAATAGAGGATAATCCCATTTAGAATCCGTGGAAGGATCCAAGGAGGAAGAGCAGAGAGCAGTATCTGCTTTCTATCACCATCTTCCAGTAGTGAGCACCTGCCAAGAGCAGAGGGAAAGTGTTCCTGAGGAAAGAGAAGGAAAGAGAACAGGAGATGCTGGTTAATGCCACCGCAGGGGCTGATCCCAGCTTCAAGGCCTGCTCCTGACCATGACCACAGACACCAGGGAGCCGAAGTGGACAGAAAGCAACTCAAATCCATTACTATACAGGATCCTTATCCAACCAAGCCTTGCCCCAAAGAGAGAGACAGAGTGTGGTGGGCAGGGGCCCATCAGAGACAGGGTTTGGAGGAGCTGAGGAAGAACCCCTCCATCTTCGTGCAAGCTCACCGAAGCAGCTTCAGCCTAACCCTGCTTCTGCCTCTTGCATGTGCAATTCTACCCTCAGCAAAACCAGGCTTCCCTTGTCTCCCCTCTGGATGGTGGAGCAAGAAACGGGTTCCACTCTCACTCAATGCCAAGTGGCCACCATTCAGCCTACACTGCAACAGTTATATGACCGCTTCCAAAAAAGATGGCTGCAGCCTCAAAAAAAAACAACAAAAAGTAGAAAACAGTCAATTGCCTCATAGCACAGAGCACTGTCCAGAGCCAGCCGGGTTTGGATTTTGCTGTATCCTGTGCCCCACCGAAGGGCCATTCAGTGGAGCCAAGCGTTCATAGTCAAGCATTAGTGACTTCGGAACTGGGGCTATGGAGAGTCCAGGGAAGGGCACAGAAGAGACCACCTGCAGCCCTCTCCCCATCAAGAATGAAGGGGAGGGGCGCCTGGGTGGCTCAGTTGGTTAAACCGCTGCCTTCAGCTCAGGTCATGATCCCAGAGTCCTGGGATCGAGCCCCACATCGGGCTCCCTGCTCATGCAGAAAGCCTGCTTCTCCCTCTGCCTGCTGCTCCCCCTGCTTGTGCTCTCTCCCTCTCTCTCGCTATCTCTCTCTGTGTGTCAAATAAACAAATAAAATCTTTAAAAAAAAAAAATGAAGGGGAGTCACTTGGTTGGCTGGAACTGTGGCTAAGATTCACATTTTTCCCCTTCTGGCCAAGGAGTGAGGGGATAGAGGCGAAAATCCTCTCTTACGGTCTTCCCTGCACAAAGCAAAGGAGAGAGGAGACACAACAGCAAAGCCCCAGGAGGCAACACACTGAGAGTGCCTCCCACCCAAGATGAGGTGGCACCCTTGAACCAAAGTGCCAGGGAGCTCTTAAAACAAGCAGCAATTTGAAAACCAAGGTCACCCCTTTTTTCATTCCCAGGTTGGGACTTTATCAGTTACAGAGAGAGACAAAGCAGTAACCAAACGCATCACCTGAGCCAGCTCTGTCGCTGCCCACATTCTGGCCCCCAGGCAGCAAAGGCAGGGAGCCTGCGGACTGTCCTGCAACATCTCCAGGGAACTATTCCATGATAGAGAACAGTGAAGCAACATTTGGAGAGTCTGGAGAGGAGAGGAGCATGACCAAAGGCTCTGCTCCCCATCCGGCTTATGAGTGTGTCCCGCACAAAGAAAACTGTTCACACTCAATACAGGAGGCCTCAGGGTAAGTGGAAAAGTGAAGGTACGCAGGAGAAAGCTCCAGAAACAACTCAACATTCAAGTTAAGGAAACAAATTCCAGAAAAGTCGGGGTTGGCCTCTGCTCTCCTTCTGACCCAGTTCAGGATCCAGAGCCCAGCATCAGGGGCCACCTGTGCATAGAGACAAGAGGCCGTGGTCAGTCTGCAGAGTCTGGGGCTTGCATCACACTGGGGGCTCACTAAGCACCTTACAAACATCATGGCCTCACTGGATCCGTTTGCGGAAGGTACCACTAAGGCTCCGTTTTCCTTCAAGGGCGTCCCAGAATGGAAGGCCTGGCTGAGAAGAAATCCTCTCAGTTCCAGCTCCCAGGGCCCAGGAGCCCCCAGCCCGCCCCCCACCGATATGCTCTTTTGGAGCAGTGCAAAGTCTCTACCAACCAAACTCATAACCCAAAGTCTACTGATCCCAGGGATGGGAGGAAAGATCAAGGGAAGGGCGTGACACATAAAATCAGACAACAAAATGGACCAGCACAGGAACTTTGTCTCTGGCTCCAGGACTGGCACCGGGGAGTGTGCCTCCCCAGAAACGATCCCCAGGATGAGCATGTTTGTGGCAGACACGGGTCTGGCCGTGTCCAGACCCCAGCTGGGAGCTGGATGCCATCAACAGGTGCTGGTTTCTGCCCTTATTTGCATGTTTCCAAAAGGAACAAGGACAGACTCTGTGACCCTCTTGGCTGCCACTCAACTCTGGGTTTCCTGACTCCTTCTCCTTCCCTCACAGTTCTCACCGAGGCAGGTCCCTTCACCCCTGCGAGGCTCAACTAAATCAGGGGGCACCTGGAAGCGCAGGCAGGTCACTGCCAGGTCTGTCAACTCCTGCGCCCCACGCCGGGGCACCGTGCCTTCGGTCCCCAGCTGGCACATAAGGGCTGAGGACCCGGAAAAACTCCTATCTCACTCCAACTGAGATTCTGACTCATGGGTGTTGAGGAAGAATGTAGAAGAGGAAGAAAATCACTCACAGAACCTCCAATACTGGTGTTTGGGAAGGCGGACGGCAGGGCTAACAAAAGGACTCCAGGACAGGCTCTGGGCTTACCCAGGGGGCCGAGGAGAGGGGGCAGCAGACAGATTTGGCTGAGTGACCCTGCGGGGTCACCCTAAAGGCGAGGAAGAGTGTGGAGGCTGGGGGACATGCACGCACCCCACCCTCCCCTACACAGCCAGAGCTGATGGCCACAGCCCCTTCCGGTGGACATGGGCAGAAAGGCCCTGCAGGGCAGGGGACCCTCTGAAGTGGCCCCGCTTCCACCCTTCCATCTTCAAAGTGCATTATCAGTGCAAGAAGTAGGGCTGGATTTCAGGGGGTCCAACTCTGAGAAAGGGCTGTGCCAGCCAGCTCCCCCGATCTCCTCCTGCTTCCCCCTGGGCCGCCCCCCAACCCTTTTCATGCTAAGACCAGAACTCTTGCTGAATCTCATAAGGGGCAGGCCTGTGTGTGTTCAGTTCAGCTCTGCACAGTGGCACAGTGCTGTCCTGACTCTGGCCCTCCGCGTCCAGGTCCAGAAGCGTCCGCTCGGCGGGGGGCAGCGGCCCCGCCTGGAACGGGAGCAAGGCGGGAAGTCCAGGCCGCTCCTCCACAGTGCTGCTGCTGCTAGCAAGGCAGGAGTCCAGGTTGCTGGGCGTCTCCGTGCTGGAGCTGTTGGCTGGGGAGGCGCTGCGGGCGTGGCTGGGGGACACGAACCACCAAGGGTCCAGCCGTTGCCGGTTGGCAGAAGGACGTGGCCGAGGCAAAAACTCCAGGGTCTTGGGTCTCTCCAGGGTGGAGTCCTGCTGTGTGTTCCAGCGCCTTGGGGTTGGGGGAAAGACCACATTGGGGTCAGGGAGACGGGGGAATTCACCTGGGTCTCGGCTGGGGCTGGGGGTTTTCAACATTCCTGGTCAAAGAGACAGAGGGAAAAGCATCAGATGACAGCACCACATTTCTGGGCCAGGTATACACCGCTCCCCCCCACCACCCCAGCTGCCACATCCCTAGTCACTGGGACTAACCCGACTAACAAATGTTTAATGAGAGCCTACTGTGTGCCGTGCAGTGTGCTGGGAGGCACTGGGGATACAGTAGTGAACCAGAAGGCCAGAAGGCCACTGTATCTGATAATAAAAATAGTCACGGAACATACGGAGGTCACATCTGTAATGAAGAAGTTTAAGGCAGAACTCTGCCCCACGGGCCACCCTGTGTTGGCAAATAAAGCTTTAGTGTAACACAGCCACACCTATTGCTCGCTCTCCCACTGGGGCAGCAGTGTTGAGTAGTTACAACAGAGACCATGGGACCCACAAAGCCTAAAATATTTACTATCTGGCCCTTTACCAAGAAAGTTCGCTGACCCCTGAGACTCAAGGAAGGGTCTGCTTATTCCCAGTTCATTCAGTGAATAAACATGGGAGGCAGGAGCAAATCTAGGCATCAGAACTCCAAAGATGAGTCATAAGGTCTGCTTCCCAAAGGGGACACACATCTGAGTTCAACAAAAAAATATCTAAAGAGGGGAGGGGCAAGCTGAAGGGGGAAATACAACTGTTGTTTACTCAAAGATCACTGAACTCTCAGTTGCCATCTGGTCATCTCCTACTGGGTGAGAGGGGTTTCCGAGTAAGACGTAGGTCTCTAGGGAGCAGGGAATGCTGATGGGAATGACCTGGGTTACCTACGGCCAGGTGGCTGGGTGTCAGACAGAGAAGGCAGGCATATGCCGGCCTCAGCAATTTACCTGCATCCCTCTCCACGTCCGGGGAGTCAGCAAAGAGTAAGGGACGACTGACGCAGGGCAGGATGCATAGGAGGAAGCTGGCCTGTGAGTATGACAGGCGCAAGCCCAGCCACGTGCCACCGAACACCCCTCCTAGTGCAGTGCGGCACTCCTTCTGGAACGTCGGCCTCCACTTCCGGGAACAAGCGAGCTAGGCCCCTGCCCCACCAGTACCCTGCAGGCACGGTGCTGTGCGCTCCAAGACCCAGAGCCCGAATTTCCCACGGGAGCCCTGGGCCTGATCCTTCCTAGAAGCTGCCTGTCTCCCCCGACTGAGGCACTCTCCCCACAGAGAGAAGGTAGCCAGCCTGGCCACCTCTCCAACCCCAGGGCAGCATGTCCCGGCGGGCTGAGCCAGAGGAGGAACGGCATCCACTCCAATGCTGCCACTCCTGGGGGAGGCACAAGGGCAGGAAAGAGAAAAGAGGAGGAGGGCAGGACTCACCTGCTCCGGGGCTGGGGCTCAGCCCATTGCTGGAGGGGCTCCTGCTGGCTAGGAGAGCCACTGGCTTGAGGGCCCCATCAGAAGGAGTCCGCCGGTGGCCACTGGGCTGTGTGGGGGCCGTGAGGGTGACGTGGGTAGGAGTCAGGGATTGGTTAGGGTCTCGTTTGAAGCGCTCCACTCGGACGTTGACCAGGGGGTTGTGGGTGCAAGGGCTCAGGGGTGGGGCCTTGACCGGACTGACGGGCATCTCGTACACCACGATCTCATCGCTGTCAGAACGCAGCAGGGAGCGGGTGGAGTTGCACTCGGAGATGGAGGAGAGAGAAAGCAGCGTTAGGGAGGCAGAGGGGTCTCCTAGCAACAGCATGGGCTCCTCCTTCTTGAAGAGCTTCCGGGATGGGGGGCTGGTGCTCCGACGAGGACGGCTGGCCCTCTGGAAAAGACCCTCACGCCTCTTCTTCTCCTCCCGGGCTGGGGGCTCAGGCTCCTCCGGGGCAAGCAGCTGGTACTTGCCAGCTTCCAGCAGGTCGAACCCCAGGCCGGTGGCCGCGAGAACGGCCCCACAGCCGAGCAGAGCCACCTCACAACGGCGGTGGTGGCCGCCACCCCGCTTGAGGCTGTTGGTGGGCGTCAGCTGAGGGGTACTGGTGGCTGAGTTGACGGGGGTGGGCTCCTCGTGGACTCCATCACTACAGGGGCCCTCTCCCTCCTCTCCACGAGGGAATGGGATACAGAGGTAGGACTGGTTGGGTGAATGCTGCAGACGACTCTCCCCACTCCTTGGGCCTTCGCTGTCCTCATCCTCTGTGAAGAAGAGAGGAAAGGGGGGGAACAGGAAATGGGAATGAAGCAGCAAGAGCAAGAACCCCGTCCTTCTCCCCGGCCCCGGGCCTCCTGGCGGAGCGTCAGGAACACAAAGTTAAGAGTCTCACAGGTGGGATAAGGAACCGGGCATTGAACCCACAGAGCTTGTCCTCCACACTCAACTGTGACCAACACGAGGAAATCACTCTCCATTCCAGAGCCTCTTTTCCTGTTTTCGGAAAAGGAAATCTGCTACTTTTCTACTTCGTTCATTAGGACCCTCAACACAAGAGGTACAGTGTGAGTTTCCTAGAACAGTGGGTAGAACAGAAACATTCCTAACTTTTTTGCACCTTAAAAGTGGAAGGGACCTTGAATTTCTAGGATGGCCTAGAGCCCCCTCTTAAGAGCAATGGATTGGAATCCCCTCCACAGGTGAAGGTGCATCTACTCTATAAACTGACCTACTACGACCTTGGAAACCTTCAGAGAGAAGAGGACTTACTATCTGAGAGAGAGCCTGGAGGAGACCTTACCCATTCAGCAAGCACAGGCAAGTGGAAAGCTTCCTTGGAGAAAGGAAGAAACCATCTCCTGTTTTGCAGACTCCCCACATTAAGATACAAAGGAAAGTGACCCAGCAAAGGAAAATGCCTGATTCAAGGCCTCACCCTCTGCACTGCCCTAAGGAGACTATACCTGACTCCCTGGGATAGGAGGCCAAGGGCAGGCCCCATGGCAGCAGTAGGAAGAAATTGTGATTTGGGAAGGTTCGATGAAATGGGAGTAGAGCAAGCGAAGAAGGAACTGGGTGGGGGCCCGGGAGTTGGGTAAAAGAGGAGACGACCCCCATGAAGTGGCACTAGGGGTCCTCAAACAGTCCCGGAAGGTTGGCCGAAATTTCCCTGAGGAAACAGGGACAGTCAGGACAAAGGCAATGCTCACCCATCTCCATAAGGCTGGTGAACCCTGGCAGGGCTGGGCTACTCCTCGGGCCCTTCCCCAGATTGGGGGCACTGGACGACCACTGTTTGTATCCATCTACCAGGGACTTGAGGCTAAATGGGAGGAAATGAGGAAACTGTGAGAACTGGTTACTTCCCTTACTCCACTCTCACCTCCACGGGCCTGTGTAAAAGTCTCTCCCTGTGAGCTTAATTCCACCAAAGCCCAAGAACCTTGGGGTACAGGCAACAAACATAACTGAGTGCCCTCGCATCACAAACAGAAGTGCACATGCTCTAGGAAAAGAAAAGCAGGGCCATGAACCCACCCCTTCACATGCTGTTATGGAGCCAGGGAAAGATCTAGCAGGCAGGCTGGCAAGAGGACAGGAAGAATGAGGGCTGCCCAGCACTGGCCCAGGTCTTGCCCGAGCCCATCTTCCGCAAGAGACCATCACTCCGGGACACTGTCTACAGCACAGTGTTGACATCAGGGGACACCACAATGCCAGGCAAGCCCTGGGCAGATGAGCTAGCAGACATGGACGGGCCAGGTTACTCCACTCAGACCATTTCTCCACTCCTGTCAAGCTTATGGCATGCTTAGGCAACTTTCAAAGCCAGCCACTTTTTTTTTTTTTTTTTTTTGCCAGCCACTTTTTAAAAACAAGAACCAGCCAACAAAGCTGCACCAACCCAGTGCACTTTGGGACAGACCTATGTGGGGAGTACATAATACTGTACTTGAGCCCCTGGTCTGTCTGGGAACGGAGAGGAAAACAGCAAGAGCTTGCTTTCAAATCCCTGTGATGAGCTCAGACTCACAAGCCAGTAACTCTGAGGATCCTGACGGGGTACCCCACCAATCCCCTCATACTATGGGGGAATCAGAGGCCCAGAAGCACTGGTCTTTTCTCTAATGGACAATAAAGAGGGAAGACTGAGGAAATCTCTTGGGTTATCGTTGCCTTGGAAATACCAGGATTAGAATCAGAGGTGGCTCTCATTTTAGGGCCAGAAAAAGCTATTCAAATAAAGCCCACTCTTCCGAGTCCATCCTGAGGGAGAGAGAAGGACCAATGGGTTCCCCTCATTTCAGATCTCTGTTTCAAGTGCTATCAGAAATACCAGCAAATTCAAGTACATTCCAGCCAGCAGTGGTTTCCACCAAAATACACAGCCAGAGATAAGCATGCTGCTAAACCCACAGCCTGGGACTTCTAACTGATAATCTTCTAACATCACCTCCAGCTCTGGGTTCAAGGGAATCCAGATTAGCAAAGTCAAAGCCAGTGCTAAAGATGAAAGGATAAATAGCCTTGTGTCGTCGCCCTGTAACTAGGGGTGCCAGGAGAATCCCAACAGGAGTGGTCAGGGAAGGGAGAAAAGGGAAAGTGCAGACCAACACAGGAAGCTCCCAGCGTGCACGAGGGTACCGCTTTAAAGAAAAAAAGTCAGCACAGCCTTGGCAATAATGACGCTCAATTCTACGGGGTGTGCCGTGAGAACAAGGAAATGGGAGGGGGACTATTATGAACACATTTGATGGAAGGGTGACGATTAGACTCACCCCAGGTGGAAATGTGGAGATTCTGATGGGGTACTTAAACCATTAGCTTTCTCACGTCTCTGAGGGGATCTTCAATGAATAAAGAAAATCAGTAGTAGGTGACAGTGGGTACATCCAACTCAGCCTCTCCCACATGGGAGCCCTCAAGGCTGGACTCCAGCCATGTGGCCAGCTGCCTTCCTCTTGCCCGGTCAGCACAACCCGCACCATGCAGGAATCTTAACGAGGTGGCCGTGCCTGAGCTGCCACAGGCCCAGGACCTCCCAATCTGTGGGACAAAGGTCCCCAAGCAACCACAGGGTAACTGCAGAGACCATGTGAATCCACAGATACCCAAGCTGTCTACAAGCAAGTACATGTTTCCTATAAGATAAATACTATTTTTTAAAGGGATGGAGATGCACATTCACTTAACATTACTGAATTCAATATAGCTTTTTATTGTTACATATTTTCTTCCGTTAATAGGGACTAAAGCTAGAAATATTGTCACACAGAGACTCTCAAAAATTTCTGCCATTAAAGAGGTCTTTACTCAAGAATGAATGGAATATATTTTATTTCTTGAATAGGAATTGAGAATCATAAAAAATTAAGTCATATTTTGAACTGTTTCAACAGTTTTGAGGACAAATCTATGCAAGGGGGAAGAAAATGCCAAAATTAGTATTTTGGAATGTGAAATAAAGTTAATTTACTAGCAAGACAAAAAGTTATCTATAAATGAAACAGAACTAGAGAAACTACTGGGATCCACAGCCAACCTGGTAAATCCTATCAGGAATCACATGAATGTCAGAAATACCAAGGGATTCAGGGTGACTGAGTTTCTCAGACCCACCTTAACCCTACTCGACCCCAGGGCTCAAGGGGAATCAAACTGAGCAGCTCTTGCCCCTCCAGAACCTTCTACAGCAGAGCAATTTACCATTCCTAGAGGACTCAGTCACGGAACTCTTACGGAGCTTAGGCAGTCGGCCCTACATACCTAATCTTCCCTTCCTTCCTTCCTTTTCCTTCTCCTTTTCTTTCTTTTACTTTCTCTCTCTTTCCTTGTCTTTCTCCCTTCCTTCCTTCCTTCCTTCCTTCCTTCCTTCCTTCCTTCCTTCCTTCCTTCCTTTCCTTCCTTCCTTCCTTCCTTCCTTTTCCCTATTCCAAGGCATCTAGTGATTTCTAAAGCCTGGCTTCAAAGAGTCAATCCTGTATGCACCAAGTTGATATTTTCACCTTTCGCTCAGATCTGACATGAGAAAACAGATTTGGGACCTGAAATCTTAGGATTCAAAGGAATACCAGAGCCAGGTCCAGGTCCAGGCACAAGCTCAGGAAAGTCACTGAAAAGGGAGAAGGGGGTCGCTGCTTCTTCGCACACTTAGAAAAGTCAAGAAAGGGGATTCTAGATTCTAACGCCAAGAATAAGAACGGCAAACCACTATGCTCATTCTGCAGGGGTGAAACAGAAATTGCATGAGAAGCACAGAAGAACCATCACGGCAGATATTTACACAGGCTCACTACGAGCCAGCTAATCTTGCCAGCACTTCCCAAAGAGGAATTTATTTAATCCTTGCATCAACTCCATGAGGTGGGTGCTGGCATAACCCCCGTTTTACAGACGAGAAAACATAAGGCCACACGGCGAGGCAGGCTGGGGTCAGCAGTGACGCCCGCCACTGCTTAACTCACTATGAGGGACTGGCCGCTGAAGAACTGGGACTTGAGAGAATTTAACTTGGAAGCCACAGGAAGAACACAAGCACATCCAAGACACAAAGCTGGGTCTTGTGCTTTGCCCAGAGGGCGTGCTCACACCTGTCAGGGTGGCTATGAGGTGAGGCCTAAAAGAAGTTCTAGTGGGCCCGTGATGTCATGAGCACAGGGTGTTATAGAAGACTGATGCATCACTGAACTCTACCCTCTGAAACTGTTAATTAATTAGATTTAAATAAATTAAAAAAAAAAAAAAGAAGACGACGACGTTCTGGTGGCCTTGGAGTTAACATCTGAGTGCACTGACTACCAGGGCTGGATTATTCTGTCCGCTGTGTCGGGATAAGTCTCCAAGTCAAGAGAGTCCCGGAAGCCCTGCTCTTCCTTCTCTTGGCTCTGAGCGGATGACTGAAGGGGAAGAGCCAGACAGAAGTAGAACATCTGGTAGAACTCTTCACATTCAGTTACTGCTTGGTCTACTTGCTGCTCTGAGTCAGACGCCTCCAGGGGTCAGCAAACTCTACCTGGAGGGCTAACTCCTGTCCACCGCCTGTTTACAAAGTTTTACTGAGTAAACACAGGCACGCGCCTTCATTTATGTATGGCCCGTGGTCTGCTGCTTTGGTACTGTAACACAGGAGCGGAGGAACTGCAAAAGAGATTATAGGACCCTCAAAGCCTAAAATATTTACTGTCTGGCCCTTTACACAAAAAGTATGCTGAGCCCCGTCCTAGGGGAGGTTCCAGGGAGCAAGGAGATTGGAAAACCGTTGGAAAAAGCAAGAGGCTTGTAATTTCTCAGAAAGCAATGGGACACACAACAGAGAAAAAGTATTTCACATCACAGTTTTAAAAGGGAATACCCATCTTTAAGCAGAAAGAATCTCGCGCATTCTGGCTCTTACCCTTCATCTCCCGAGGCGAGCTCCTTCTGACCAAGCGTACTTGGCCCCCACGTCCGTCCTTTCTTCTTCGGGGCCCTCTTCTCCTCCTCCTCCCCTTCCTCTTTCGGGATGATTGAGCTCCGGCCCCAGGTTTTGCTGTTTTCACCTGGTGTCACTGTGAATAACAAAAGTTGGATGGGACCTGGAAAAAAGATAGGCAGGGTCCCCCCAAAACTAGCCTCTACCTCACCAGACAGACACAGACACACACACACACACATATGGAGTCGCAGGGAAGAAGTCACACCTCCTCGAAAACTCTGTGCCCGAGTGGAGCCTTCAAGTCCTTAGGCACCAATCACCGAGCACTCTCAAAGTCCCAAACATGGAGAAACGTCCCAGATTCTCCTAAGTCCAACGCAAAGCTGGAGCTCAGGCCAGCCAGACAGCAGAGTTCCAAACAGATCTGACTTAAGGAACTTGTTTTGTTGGGTGGAACTGGACCAGGAGTGGGTGGGGAAGGAGGTAGGTAGGAGAGAAAAAAACATAAGGGGGTAAGGAAGACTTGGAAGTGCAGAAAAGAATTTTGATAAGAAAGGAAGACAATGAGGAGCTCAAGACTATGGAGCAGTTGGTGAGGAGGAGGAGGAGGGGAAGGAACAGGCCTAGAGAAGTACAACGGGTAAGAGGAACGTTCTTCGGCCACTGCTACCTTAAAGCAAAAGTTGAAACCCAAATGCTTCAGAGACTAGGCTTACATCATAAGTAACCGGATGGTTTCAGACACCAAAAAACAGGAGCTGAGGGGACTGAGGCAAAATACAGAGCATATGGAAGCCGCCATTGCTTCCAGTCAACTGCGGCCACATGAAAAAGGGGAATCCACAGATATGAATGGATTTTCTAAGGACAGCCAGCTAGGGTTTGTTTTTGTTTTTAAGTGAAATCTCTATCTTTAAGTTAGGGAAACGACTCCATTCATACACACACATGTGTGTGTGTAAATTCTTTTTAATAAATACCGTGGTAAAAATAAAATTGGTCCAGACTTGGCCAATCACAAAGTATTTGGCAAGTTCCCTTAGGACCTACACTTTGAAAACGCCCTTCCCTGGGAAGCATGAACAAAAGAAAAACAACGATGCCCCAAATATGGCAGAGCACACACAAGGTCCCCAGGCGAGGGTACCAACCAACTCAGGCCAGGTACCAGGCTATCTACCTCACACACCAGTTTCCGAATTGCTTTATGGTTCACGAAAGATCCCGTCAACACCCACAAACCCCTCTGCTGGTCTCTAAGAGGAAAAGTAGGGGGGGGCAGTAGTATAAAGCTAATGGAAAGAGACAAGAAGGAGGGCTAAGGGTTTGCGTACATATGTGCATGTATATACACATTGCCGAGGAGAGGTGGCAGAAGTTATGGATGGAGCAAGCCTGGGCCAGTCGGTGGCTGGACAGAGCAGGGGACAGATGCCCCTGGTGTGTTCTGGCCCCAACTAATTTGGGAAACAGTCTCACACTGGATGGCTCGAAGGCGAGGAATGATGGTGGGGCTCGCAGGAGGACTGGAGCGGCTGCTGATGAGACTCTTCTTTTTATCCATGGTGGGGGAGGCCTGAACCGTGAACTTGTGCTGGAAATCTGCTTGGGGAAAGACAGACATGTGTGTGCATTAGAATTTTCCCATAACCCAGGTCCTGTGAGAAAAGTGGTATGTCCTGGCAGGCTTGAGGGACAGGCCCTTGTTTCCTAAGAAGCGACTTGTTCGCCTGGGAAATGTTCTTTTTCAGAATCATCTCTTTCTCCGCAAAGATGGCAGGACAGCAAGATGAACGTATGAGGAGAAGGAAAATTCACTCTCCAAGTCAACCTCATCGACAGCGTACACAGGTGTCGTAATTACAGATTTACAATAGTCTTCTTAAGATCATGAGACTTGCTGATTATTCTAGGAAATCTAACTTACAATTCTGTTTCTTACAATCTATTAGGACAGGCCCCCTTTTCTCAGGGACCAAAGCAGGGAGACGGATGCTTCTCACTAAGGGCAGGCAGAGCAGAGTAATAAGGACTAATCCTTGGTGGGAACCTAGGGAAGTGAGCACATGGGGCTAATGGTCCAAACTGTGATGTTTTCCAAAGACAGTTACAGCACAGCATAAAGAAGGTAAACCTTATAGCCCTGAATTTCTAAGTCCCAGTGTCCTCATCTATCAAGAGGTGTAATAAACAGCTGAGTGTCTGCCCGTAGGTCCCCTGACTAGACGTGATCTCCCTGAAGGAGGGAGCTGCTGTTTCCTTCTGAGCTTCCCCACCTCACAGCAGCTTGCCACCACACGTGACATGCTCAAGAGGGGCTCACAGACTCTGTGTTGCCTGGCCAGAAAAATGTGCAACAAGGACACTGGTAAACATGTCCCACCAACTCATCCACTGAATTTCACTGAATGAATTCCCTTGTCTGTACTGAAGCCATTATCCCGGTGCTTAAAATCCTCCACTACTGTCCCTATGATGTTATTTTCCCTTGGTGTCCTTACACCCCTGCTGAGTTTGCTTCCCAGGACCTTATATAGGCTTAGAATACAATAAACACACACTTGAGCACTCACCTCCCCGTAAAGATTCTAATTCATAGTTTCCTATTACTTTGCATTTTCCCAAGGCTGAATATCCTACAAATGTACCTTTATTCACCCAACATGATTCTGAAAGGTTGTATACAAATCAAATTCCTACCCGTGAATCCTAATCTCAACTGCAGGCAGAAACTAGTTACTTAGAGAAACCCTGAGATGAGCTATTCTGCAGAGCCCTGAGTTCTCCATGTGAGCCACCATGCTGCTAGCAGTCTGGACCGTGCCTGCCCGTCAGGTTCACCCATCACCAGTTTGTCTTCCTTCCCGGTCTGTGTTTAGTCACACTCAACAACTCCCCCGGAGCAGGGTAGCTTTGCCATGGGCCAGTCTTCCCCCCTGAATGGAACGGCCCACTTCTTCCCAGCCCCGTTCAGAGACCCAGAGCCTCCTGCCTCCCAGCCCGTCCCAGGCTCCCCCAGGTCCCTGGCCACAGAGCCTGCCACCCTGCCACCCTGCCCCCCAACCTCCCAGCAGGTCCCTGGCCACTGACCAGAAGGGAGGCTGATGCGGTTCCCATCCTTGAGCTTCAGCCGGCTCTTCCTGAACTTGCCCTTGCGTTTCTTCACCCGGGGCTTCTCCTGGCACAGCTGGTGGATGATGATGTTGAGCTCCCGCTCCAGGATGTCGATCTCCCGCTCGGCCAGTTCCTGCTCGCGGCGCCGCAGCAGCTCCTCCTGGGTCTTCTGCTGGAGCGCGGCCCGCGTCAGCTCCTCCTCCCAGGTGCGGAGCTCCTGCAGGGGCAGAAGCATGGCAGCAAAGAGCAGACGCTCAGCGCAGGCAGGGAGGCCGAGGGCCCTTGAGGGCCACACCTCCAAACCCTTAGTCCCAGGCAGAGGCGCTGGTGAAAGGAATCCCTGACCACCCTGGAGGCTGGATGCCGGGCAGGGGCAGGCTCAACCCAGCCACACTGAGGACATAGCTATGGCAGCCCTGGAGACAGAGGCTGAGAGCTCCTAGTTGCTCCTTGATTACGGATCACGACTGCCTGTGACTGGAAAAAATAGGGGTTTAGGCAGAAAATATCATCATGTACTTAAATTTTACAGACTTGGTTGTATTTTCATTTTTTCCCACCATATAAAGGATGTTTTTTAAACCAGAGTCAACTTGATGCGACCTAGCTTAAAATGTGCCCACTATAAATGAATCACCCTCAATCGCCTAACATTCAAATAAAAATGTATTTCCTGAGCGATTGTTCAAAAGCTGGTGAGGCATGTCTTCTACACCTCTATTCAGCTGGTGAGTGAATCCACGAAAGCATGTGGTTTGAACTCTCATCTTGAAGGACAACCATGTGCTCTGGAAGGTTCGTGACAGCACAGCAAAGAGAAGAGAAAACATTTCCTGAAGTCTCTGCCAGGCGCTGCTCTAGGACCGCCGCTGTATTAGACGAGCAGAACCTCTTCCCTGCCTCCCCTTTTCCCTTCTGCATGAATTTATATATGTACACCAGCACGGAGCTCCTGAGGTGAGGCGGGGGCGGGGAGGCATATGGAATCAGGAAACGGGAGAGCAAACAGGAAGGAGAACTGAATATGCGCGTACAATTGTCAACTCTGGAATCTGAACTGTTAGCGCTGCTCACCCAGGACGTAAGACTGACGTGGGGTGGGATGAAGCGCTAAAACTTAAAAGTGGGGCATTTCTTCGATAAAGCAGCCAGAGCAACACTTCTGCGGCCGAAACTAGAATTTCTCCATGGAATGCTCCACTGTAAGAAGTCATTCTGCACTACAGCAAAACACTGTAGAAAGGGAGTTGAGAGCTAGGAAAACGTATGTGAGCGCACACTGGGGAAGCTGAGCAATGGGGAGAGAACAGAGACAAGAGGGGAATGAACATTCTGATGTTAGGAACTTTTCATTCAACTTGCCCTCCATTCTCAAGAGAGTATCAAAATTGCTAATAAAAATAAATTGATAACAAAAATGATAGAAAGGCAGAGAAGTGAGAAAAGGACTAGCACCTTGAAAACTGTCTTTGGGGGCACCTGGGTGGCTCAGCTTGTTAAGCGTCTGACTCTTGGTTTCAGCTTGGGTTACGATCTCAGGGTTGCGAGATGGAGCCCCACGTCAGGCTCTGTGCCGTGGAGCCTGCTGGGGATTCTCTCTCTCCCTTTCCCTCTGCCACTCCACCCTATCTCTCCCTCACAAAAAAAAAAAAAGAAAATTGTCTTGTACGTGATGGGTGCTCAGTGTCAATGAATGAATGAACGAGAAAGAAGGAAGGGAAGACAGAATTCAATTTTATAAATGCAATCCTTTATGGGAACCCAGATTCATCGTAAGTGTCTGAGAGATGAGCCTGAACTTCTGAATTTCTCCTTCGATGAAATAAGCCCCAAACAGATTCATTGTTGTATGCCCCCCACCCCCACACCCAAAGCCTTGGCTCTCCTTGTCCCACTGCTTTGTTTTCACCATCAGAAGAAAAACATGGAAGATTCAGAAAAATCATTCTTGGCTGGTTGATTCTGCTGCTAGATGGGAAAGTTAAAAAGTTCAAGCTAATTTCAGCCTTCCTAAGTCTTCTTCTCCTACCTGCTCTTATCTAGCGGATGGTTTGTGTTGTAGCCCCTTCCTTTGAGGGAACTCAGACCCCAGTCCAGAGACAAATCCATCGTCACTATACCTGGAAGTGGTAAATTGAGACAAGCTGAGAATGAGCTGAATCATATGGGAAACCAGGACATTTATGGAGTACTCACCAATGGCACCATATATCGGCAAGACTCTCAAACATGGTGAGTCTCCTCCTTCTTGTGAAACACCATTTGGGGATCAGCCTCCTAGTATGCAGATCATTATCATCTGCATACAATGATTTAAGAGGCATCTCCCCAGAGAGAAAGCTCATTATCCATCCCTCACCCTCACTTCCCCAACTAGGAGTCTTATAATGGACAGACATCATAGCACAATGGTTAAGAGCAAGGATTCTGGAACACACTGCCTGAATCGTGGCCTGAGGCGAGTTACCAGGGGCATTATACATAACATGGAGTTAACCGCACTGACATCACAGTTGTTTACATAAGACAGTTATTATCTTATTATGTAAGATTATATAAGAATTCATATAAATCACTTTATAACAGAGCGTGGCACATAGTACATGCTCTATAAGTGTTAGCTGTTATGAGAATGGGTTTGGCTTCTCCTACTAACTACCCACAACAAAATCCAACTTTCATTTTTCTTATTGGCGGGTACCCTTGTAATTTCATCAATCAAAAGAAAGAAAATCAAGAATCAAGTGATTCAACAATCTAAAGGGCCAGCAACTCTAGGTTTCTTCTAGTTGGAACAGCATTAGTAACAGGAGTACCCTCTTCTTTTTTTTTTTTTTTTTTTTTAAGATTTTATTTATTTACTCACCGAGAGAGAGAGCATGAACAGGGGGAGGGGCAGAGAGAGAGGGACAAGCAGACTCCCTGCTGAGTGGGGAGCCCGCCATGGGGCTCGATCCCAGGATCCTGAAATCATGACCTGCGCCAAAGTCAGATCCTTAACTGACTGAGCCACCCAGGCGCCCAAGAAACACCCTCTTTCAATCATTCTGCCCAGTGGTCAGTGCTGGTCCCTTCCCCCCACCCAGGTCCTAAAAGATGTGTCATAAGCTCACTCCATTTCCCTGCAGAACATTCATTGACTTGCCAAATAGTACAGGTTTAGGATTGCTATGTGGCATAAAAAGAGGTTTATCTCTTCAAATCAGCTCCAGAAATGATTTTTAAGTCATTTGTTTAGGCAAACAATATTGGAGAGAAGATGTGGTTAGAATCAGAAGACCCAGGTTGAAGATTCTGTTTCCCCACGTACTGGCTGTGTGACAAGTCACTGACCCTTCACCCTGAGATGAGATAGACAGTAACACCTGCCCTACATGCTGGGGGCAGGGGCCATGAGACTCCTGGCCAAAAAGGACGAAAGGTTCTTTCCATCATCACATCTTTTAAGGGAAAGAACTGGGAAGCCATAACGATGTACACAAGTTCAGCTGCTGTTATCAGGTTGCTTCCCAAATGCCCCGAGTGGGCAATGAGGAGGGAAAAAAGAAATTAACCAAGAGAAAAATGGACGTTGCTTGTGCCCCTAGCTGTAGCCCTTAGAGCCAGCCTAGCCCCTGCAGTAGAAGCCACGTAAGTGCTCGTGATCAGCTTCCCCTCTGTGGACATGGACTGCTCACCAGATGCCAAGGGCCCAGAGAGGAGCCACGTAAGGAATGGCCACCAAAACGAAAGGCAGATCTCTAGTAAGCTAAGAATATTTGAACTCCTCAGTCAGTTCGGGCTTAAGCCTTTTTCACAAAAACATGCAAAATACCGTGTAATTTCAGAACCATAGTATTTTTAGCCCATCTGCTGTTTCTGATTCTGATACCAAAGATAGTGGCAGGATGTGCTCAGTGTTGAAGAATCTCTATCTTAAGTTAACCCCCACTCTGGAAGTCCACTATGGAACCAAGAAACGTTTCTAGAACCCTCTCATATTTTCTGCTGATACCTGCCCAGTGGTGCTCTTCCTCTGGTTTGGACAATGAAGTAGATACTCTGTGTGGAGAACTTTGGACTCATGACACCCCTACTTGTTCCTCCCAAATCCCAGAAAGAAATAAAACGTCTCTACTACCTCAGGTCACACCTGAGGCATGGAGAACTCTCTCCATGTAAAGTCGGGAAGAAAACGCTGCTCTGTTTACCTCAAACTAAGCAGGAAGGTGGTTGTGTCAGAATCTCTCCAGAGGCCCCAGTGGGGAAGACCCACTGATTCAATGCACACCTTTTTCTTGTTTTATTTACCTTTTCTTTGGCCCTGAGTTGGTCAAACATCTCCTGAATCTCATGTTTCCAGTCATCCTGCAGGCAGTGGAAGGAGTCCTTGGGCATCTCAAAGAAGCCAGACTCCTCTATGGTAGTTAGCTGGTCCAGGATATTTGTGAAAGATGGTCGTGAATGAGGGTCAGGATTCCAGCAGTCTGCATGGAACACGGGAGTAGACAGAAAGCATGAATGGACAGAGACAAGCATAAGACAGAATATTATGTGACCTCATTTACCAGAAAAGTGCCTCTCATTTTTCCTTCCAGAAACAGAAACATGGGGATTTTGGCAATCACACACAGGGCTGGGGAAGTAAAGCAAGCTGCCCAAGCTCACGATCATCCAGAGTCAATGTGGAAACAGAATGCAGCAGTTCTACCCCCATCCGACTCTGCCTGCTGATTTAGCATCAGAAAAGCAAGTCCAAAGAGTTGCTGGCGTGAGGCTCAACAACCAGGATTTGTTATGTTCCTACACGAGTCCAGTTCTGACAGTGGGTTAACTAGACTTCGGACCTCAATTTCCCACAAATAAACGAGCCAGCCTTCCCCACCTCAATGGGATGATGATAAGGCAAAGATAAAAAGGACTGGCCTGGGTGTCGGGAAAAGTGAACTCTACCCATTCTCAGCTCCCACACTAGCTAATGCAGTGCACTTTGCCTCTCTCAGCTTTGGATTTCTCACTCAGGGAATTACAGGGTTCGACCAGATGACTTCTAGAGTTCCTTTCTTCTTGGATGTTCTTCGTTTCTAGATGTAATACACTCAGAGGTCCTGAAAATAAAAGCTGCTATGTCTTCTCACTTTGTATTAAATAATAAACTACTGAAGTGCTGGATAGTGGGTTTTAGTTACTAAGTTGAGCTCTACAATCCCTCGAGATGGACAGAAGGAGCACCTGTGCCATCAACGTAGCAGGTGCCGACATCATCTGAAAGTAGCTCTTCCACCCACCCACAGGATTCCTCCTTGACTGACTTGTACTTCATCTCCTCTCTCCGTAACTGACTCAGCAGAATCATCTGACATCTACCCAAGTGCTACTCAGAAGGCAAACCCTCCAATTTTGTTCCAGTCAGGGGTCACTTACCTTCCATGAGTTTGGCAAAAGGTTCCGGGCACGTAGAAGGAATGGGAAGGGCGAGCTTGTTCATGGCCACTCCATAAGCCACGGCTAAGCCATCGATTCCTCGGAAGGGCACCTCACCAGTCAGGAGCTCCCAAAGCAGCACCCCATAGCTGAGGAGAGGAAGAAGACAGAAGCAGTCTCAGATTGCGACAGGTGCAATCTCACCGACAGGGCTCACGAGGCCTTTCCGAGCTAGCCACACTCTTGCTGGCATGGAGGGAGACCAACACAGCAGACGTACCAGTGGGACATTGACAGGACACCAGGAGGCCTACCCGCTAAAAGCAAAAGCTCCGGAGTCGGGCACACGTAGTTTCAAAGTCTTGTTCCTCAAACTCCTCATCTACAGAGTGCGAATAACAACTCCGGGCTCACCAGGATGCCGTGAGTCTCACCGAGCTACTCTAAGGGTTTAAATCAACGCTCACCAGCCATAGCTCTTCTGTTGTTGTTATTGCTAATGTAATACTCTGGAAGAAGAGGCCACCTCCCAAGAATACATTTTTTTCCTGTTTTAAGAAAACTTCAGCTTTCGTCACAGATACATTTTTTCAGCTTTAGAAAAGCAGAGAGCTGACTACTTACAACAAATGGATTTTGCTCTTGTAACAGGTTTCTTTAAATACCCACTAGGTTGGATAGATTCCCACCCCTGATCAGTTAACAGAGACCTGTGTGTAATTCAAAGGGGAAAGTCACACAAGGGGCGGCCTACATGGGAAGAGCAGAGCAGTGGGTCAGCTGTGAGGACCTCAGTTTCCTCCCAACCTTTCAAATCCACATGAAGAATTTCCTTTCACATGTCCTGTGAGTCAGAGAATGGGGAGTACTAAGCTTAGAATAATTATTCTATGAATTCACAATCAGAGCAAGGCAAAATCATGTAGTGTTCAATCCTTCCAGGAACAACAATCCTCCCAGGACAAGCAACCATAACGCCACTAACAGTTTGAAGAGTGGCTCTCCTTGTATTTTCAACACAAACCTCAAATTTTTAAAAAATACTCATCAGTAGTTTACAACCAACAAAGTCATGTTATTTTAAAACAACACATGGCTCAGTTGGTACAGCAGGTGACTCTTGATGTTGGGCACAGAGATTACTTAATTAAAAAAAAAAGTAAGCCCAATATCTATTTCATCATGGTACTTTGTATGCACAAGGTGCTAAGACATTTATAACATCATCTTGAATCCCCACCATGAACCTGCAAGATAAATATCACCATTCTGCAGATGACGAAAGCAAGTTTCAGGAAGTTTAGGGCATATATGGCATAAGTCATGGTGGACCCTGGACCAAATCTCAATTCCTTCTCTCTAGGATCCCCTTCTACCATTTCTCTGCTTAGTAAACTCTAATCGTCTTTCAAGATCAAATTCAAATGCACCATCATGTATTCGTTCATTTTATACATCTACTAAAGATTTACTATGCATCAAGCTCAATGTCGGGCACTGGGATGCAGGATACAGATCTTGTCCACAAAGACACTAATGAGAGGAACAGAAAAGACGTCAATTAGGACACAGAGATGAGTCACAAGAGAGATACCATGAGCGTACAAAGAGATCCGATAGGCTCCTGGCCACACCAGGATAAGGGCAGGAGACAGCTAAACCTTGACTGCTAGGTAAAGGAAGACAGAGATCCAGAGACAGGGGTCAGCATGTACAAGGCATGCCTTGCCCTCAAAGAATCGTAAGTGGCCTGGCATGGCTCCAAAGAAGAGCAACAGGCCAACCAATGCACCAGGGCATCCCAGAAGATCCCTACATATGGCCCCCCAGAGTGGCCTGGCCAGTCTCCTTGGACAATGGCTTTCTCTTGGTGAGTGCTCCAAATACCATCACTTTCTTTACGTATCTCAACAACCAAAAAAAAAAAAGGCCTGGTAGACAGCTGCAGGTCTTGTCTTGACAGGGAGCTGGATTTTAGTCTGAGGCTGATGGCAACCATGTTGGACACTTTAGGAAGCCTTCCCTGACACTCCCAGGTGTTCCTGGGCTGCCATGTATAGCGGTTATCTGTTCGCCAGCCCACGGGCTCTTCAAGGGCAGGGATAGTAGTTTAATCTTTGCATGCGCAGAGCCTTGTACACAGGAGGCACTCATATAGTAAATGAGTTGATGGGTGGGTGTGGGAAAAAGTGCATGGTCAGATGGTCCTGCAGGCTGCACTGCATGCCCTAGAGTAAGCCCCGAACACCAAGAATTGCACTGTTATTCTTCCTGCCAAACCTTTACCGTGACTCGTCCAGAGAGCGGTGGTGCTGGGCAGCTGCTACCAAGTGACTTCTAAGAACTCTCAGCACTGCCGACGAGATTCCTAGCTTACAGTGACTCTCATCTTCAGTTGTCTGCTCCGGGCATTCCTGCCAACCTCCATTCTGGGCAATAAAAACCCAAGGTCCCAAAGAACCCCTCTCTTCTATCTAGGCGAAGATGATGGGTGTCTGAGCCCTAACTACCTGGAAAGACAGCAGAGTTTTTCAAAGATCTAAACATGTGTCCTGTTTGTGTCCTTGCATCAGCTCTGCCCATGGTTTCCATGGATATGTCTCAGGCCACCTGGAAGAGGGAGGAGCCAGGGGCTCCACCCCTCTCAGTTTCCAGGAGGGCAGCTCTGCTCTTACCTGGCTTCTTTCTTTATTCATCTGCATTTCATTCCGTTTGAAAGACCCCACAACTAAGAGGAGCCGGTCGAATGCTACTCAAGAAAGATTCAGACAGACTTGAGTCAAATATCTGCTTTACCGCTCACGGCGGGCGGTGTGGCCCTGGGAAAGGAAGCTCCTCGGTTTTTCTCACCTGCGCAACAAAGACAGCACTTCTACCTCATAGAATAACGGCAAGGGACAAATAACACAGCTACCACTTCTCCAGAAGCTTCCACGTCCGGCTAGCGAACGCTGTGTGTTTCCCCTTGGGAAGGGCCCGAAACAAGACAGCCTCTGGTGGGATTTGGGGAAAGCCCGCCGTGTCGGCTGAGAGTCTTGCTGAGGGACACCAGCGTTCAGGCAAGAAGCCTTTCTGGGAATGAGTGGACCAGTTAGGTTTCCTCTGCTAACGTTCCTCTTTATTTCTGTAACCGAAGGTGGTAATGTAAGTGAAGCCTTGGCGTTCCTTTGGCAGGAATACAGCCCAAGAAAGGAACTAACGAATTACACATTGGATGGGTCTGAGCCCCAGGGAGAGGTGGGCAGAACCAGTCCACGTGATTTACCTCAGGTTTGACTTACTCTGATGCCCTCCCGGGATGGAGAGAAGATCAAGAGGCCCTTCCAAGACCGGGTACAAGCAACCTGGAAGTACCAGCTCAGCTGAGACTCTGCCTCAGCCCCTCCCCCAGCAGACAGCCCCCAGCTTCCACAGCGCTGTCAGTGATTTCCCAGGAGTCCTTGCAGCCTTGCCCCAAACCCTGCGGAATGCACCCTGGGTCAGTAATTAACCACCTCCAGGGCTATGGAAATCCTTCCCACTGTGTGGTGGGTCACAGGTCGGTGAGGGGTGTTCTATGGCTGCAGAGTGAGGAAAAGCATCAGAGTGGATAGCGGCCCGACCAAAGGCACAGTAAACCCACACCTGAGCTGGACTGGGATGATTTTTCCTATTAACCTACCTTGTCTCCAAGACACACACTGAAAGGAGAAGGTGTCCCTCGAATGGGCTTCTGCACTTGGTAATCAGCTGTGACCCCACATTCCAGAAACCACACCGTTTAGTAATCTTTGGCAAAGGCGCACCTGGGTGGTGCAGCTGGTTAGGCATCTGACTCCTGATTTTGGTTCCTGAGATGAAGCCCCAAGCTGGGCTCCATGCTAAGCATGGAGTCTGCTTAAGACTCTCTCTCGCCATCTCCCTCTGCCCCTCCCCTCTGCTCACTCTCTCTCTAAAATAAATAAATCTTTAAAAAAATATCTTTGGCAAAGATGGTGAACTACCACATGAGAAAGCACTCTGTAAATTGTAAAGTAACATAAAACTATTCTTGTTAACTAGACCTCATTCAAAATGATCTATTAATATATATAATATATACATGAATATATTGACACAATAAATAAATGTTGATATGGTAATATGCTCCTGCTAAATTATATTCCAAAAGCAGCTTACAAAACAGAATGATCCCATTTTAAAGGATGGGTAGATGAGCATGTGAACAGGAATAAATGCACCAAAATATTAATAGAGGTTATCTTTAGAAGTGAGTAATCGGTGATTTCTTTTTCCCTTTTGTTTTCATCCATATTTTCTAATTTTTTTCTATGATGAACATATTTTACTTCTGTAATTTTAAAAGCTTAAAATGCCTCCCACACACACCAGGCAAGAAGTCATTGCAGGAAACCACTAACCACTGTGCTCCCTACACTGCACAACCAGAGGGAAAGGTTTCATCAACTATTCTTCCTGAGGAGGTCTAAATCCAAGCAGATTAGGAAACGTACGAAGTTGAGGATCTGGGCCATTACCATCATATCCTCCATTCGCAGCATGTGGAAGAGGCCCAGAGAACTACATTCGAAAAGCGGTAAGACAAACTCAGAGGGCCAGCAGAGGCCGAGAGGCCCCAGACCCCAAGGAGTTCCAGGAGGGGTGGGGGATGGACCCAGGCTCAGCCTAGCACCTGGCACAGAGTTAGTATTCAACAAACAATTCCTAAATGAGTAAATGAATTATAAGTCAATTCAGGAATGAGCTTTGTCCAACTTCCTAGGCATGCTTGGGCCCTCTCTGGCACATCCTGCTGGGCCCCAGGCATGGTGGGCCAAAAATCCTGGAAGAGGCTGCCCAAAGTGCAGGAACAAGCGTATACCAATGGCAATACGACTATAAGCACAAAGTTCCAAGAGACATATCTAGTTTTTTTTTTTTAAGATTTTATTTATTTATTTGACAGAGAAAGAGAGAGCACAAGCAGGGGAGCAGCAGAAGGAGAGGGAGAAGCTCCCCATTGAGCCTGGAGCCCAATCCCAGGACCCAGGGATGACCTGAGCCAAAGGCAGACGCTTAACCAACTGAGCCACCCAGGCGCCCCAAGACATGTCTAGTTCTACTCACAGCTTTACCTCTACCACCTGGCTGAACTTAGGCAAGTGACTTAAACCATCGCAGCCTCTGTCACCTCATCTGTAAAACAGAAATAATATCCTCTACTTTTGGGGATCCTTGTGAGGAACAAATGAGAAAAAAAAGAGGCACAGCATTTAGCACAGAGCCTAGCTCATAAGCGTTTTTGTAGGTGTAAATACTGTTACCAGTGTATGCATATTGTACATATAGCAACGGGCACAAGATTTCCTCTGGTAAAGGTACAAGATCGTTTGGAGCCACTTAGGTAAGTAGGCTCAAGGAAGGTGCGATTAAAGGCCCATCTAATGGGTTCCAATACATTGCTGCTTGCAGGAAATGCTGCAGCATGGAAGGTGAGTGTGGCAAGTGGCTGACTGTCCCCCAAATCCATTCTCCCCTTCTTCCATAATAAGAGTTTTAGCTGGACACAGTTAACCAGCTACAGCCTACATCTGCCTCCCTCCTTTAGAGCCAGGTGTGCCCACATAACCAAGAGCACACAATGGGGTGTGTACAGAAGAGATGTGCACAACTTCTGGGTTGTCTCCAAATTAAAGACAAGCTGATTGCAATGAATAAGCTCTTTCTCTGTTTCTGTAGAATATAATGCTGAAGTAACAGTCACGCAGATGTAACCATTCAGACAAGAACAATGCACTGAGGGGCCCGGAAAGAACCTGGGTTTCTTTTTCTTTTTTTTAAGAGAGAGAGAAAGCGTGAGCACAAGCGGGGGAGGGGGAGAGGGAGAGAGAGAATCTCAAGCAGGCTCCATGCTCAGTGCAGAGCCTGACGCAGGGCTCAACCTCACAACCCTGAGATCAAGACCTGAGCCAAACCAAGGGTTGGATGCTTAACAGACTGAATCACCGAGGTGCCCCAAGAACCTGGGTTTCTAAATGATCTCATGGGGCACAGCTAACCCACAGCCTGGACTCTTTAAAAAAGAAATACACTTCTACCTTATTTAAGTCACTGCCTATGTAGGTCTCTTTGTTTAACAGGCTTAGTTTAAATAATATATTAAATATTCTCATTAGCCTATAGTCAAGTAATAAAAGTGTTAAATTGAAGCCTATGAAATTGCTGTTTTTGTAGGTCGAAAATACTGGAATATCCCTACACAGTTCAACCTAATGAAATCTGGTCAGATATTTTAAGGAAAGAAAACTCCTTTCTTCATAATAGCTACTTCAGCCTGTAATTAATGTGTGGGAAAATAAGATGCAATATACAGAAGCTATAAAACATCACTAAGAGAAATTGAAAAAGGCCTACATAAATAGTAAGATAGCCCATGTTCATGGATTGGAAGACTTCATGTTTTTAAGATAGCAATACCCCCCAGAATGATCTACAGGTTTAATACAATCCCTATCAAAATCTCAGCTGCCTATTTTGGAGAAATTGACAAAATGCTCCTAAAATTCATTTGGAAATGCAAGGCACCCAGAACGGCCAAAATAATCTTGAAGAACAACAACAAAGTTGGAGGACTCATACATCCTAACTTCAAAACTTACTACAAAGCTACAGTAATTAAAACAGAATGGTACTAGCATAAGGATAGATACATAAACCAACGGCGTATAACTGAGTCCAGAAATAAACCCTTACATTTATGGTACATTACTTTTTGACAAGGGTGACCATTTAATTAGAAGAACAGCCTTTTCAACAAATACAGGAGTCCCCATTTATCCATGGGAGATACATTTCAAAACCCTCAGTGGATGCCTGAAGCTGCAGGTAGCACAGAACCCTATATATGTTTTTTCCTATACATACAGACCTATGATAAAGTTTAATTTGTAACTTAAGCATAGTAAGAAATGAACAATAATAAAATGGAATTATAATATACTATAATAAAAGCTATATAAATATGCTCTCTCTAAATCTTATTGTTCTATATTCACCCTTCTTCTTGTGATGATGTGAGATGATTAAAAAGCCTATGTGATGAGATGAAGTGAGGTGAATGATGTAGGCGCTGTGATACAGCATTAGGTATTCTGATGATAGGTCTGACCTTCCAGACCATGGTTGACCATGGGTAAATGAAACCATAAAAAAGCAAAACCACTGATAAGGAGGGACTACTGTAGTCACAAGCAAAAGAATGAAGTTAAACCCTTTACCTCACACCACATACAAAAATTAACTCAAAATACAACACAGACCTAAATGTAAAGCTAAGTTTTGTAACTCTTAGAAGGTAACAGGTATAAATATTCATAACCTAGGGCATGGTTTCTTAATATGACACCAAAAGCACAAACAACCAGAGGAAAAAACAGATAAACTGGACTGCATCAAAATGAAAAATGTTGTGTTTCAAAGAACACCATCAAGAAAGTAAAGAGACCCCACAAAGGGAGAAAATATTTGCAGATCATGTATCTGATAAGGGACTTGTATTAAGGATATATAAAGAACTCTTTCAAATTAAAAATAAGACAAATAACTCAATTTTAAAATTGGTAAAGGATTTCAATAAACCTTTATATTTGGAGACCTGTATATCTCCAGAAAAGATATATAAATGGCCAATAAGCCATGAAAAGACATTCAACATCAGTAGTCATTAGGGAAATAAAACCAAAACTACAATGAGATACCACTTCATATCTAACAGCATAGCAGTAATTAAAAAGACACATAGTAAGTGTTGAGAGGATGCAGAGAAATTGGAACCCTCCTACACTGCTAATGAAAATGGAAAATGACATAGCTGTGGTAAAAAACAGTTTGGTGGTTCCTCAAAAAGTTAAACACAGAATTACCATATGGCTTGGCAAATCCACTCCTAGGTATATACTCAAGAGAACTGAAAATATGTTGACACAAAAGCTTGTACAAAAATGTCCACAACAGCATTATTCACAACTGCCAAAAAGTGGAAACACTTCCAATGTCCAGCAACTTATGAATGGATAAACAAATTTCCATACAATGGAATATTATTCCACTACAAACAGGAACAAAGTTCTGACTCATGCTACAACATGGATGAACCTTGAAAACATGATAAAAGAAGCCAGTCACAAAGACCACATATTGTATGATTCCATGTATATGAAATGTCTATAATAGGCAAACCCATGGAGACAGAAAGTAAATTAGTAGCTGCTGGGGGTAGGGAGAGGCAGGATTCAGGAATGACTACTAATAGGCCCTGGGTTTCTTTTTGGTGTGATAAAAATATTCTGGAGATAGCAGGTGTAGTGGTTGGAACGGTAGTCCTAAAATAATATGTCCACGTCCTAATATGCAGAATCCTTATGTGGAACAGAATCTCCCCCTAAAGTCTCTGGAGGGAGTGTAGCCCTGTAAATACCGGTTTCAGACTTCTGGCCTCCAGACTACAAATGTCTATTCTTTAAAGCCACCTAGTAATTTATTATAGCAGCCCTAGCAATTAAACAATGGTGATTGGTACAAATTTGGTAAATTTACTAAAAAGCACCCTCTTATACATTTTAAAGGGTGAACTCTGTAACATGTGTGTAAGATCCCATTAAAACTGTTATTTAAAATATAAAATACACACACTCAGGTGCCTGGGTGGCTCAGTTGGTTAAACATCAGACTCTTGATTTTGGCTCGGGTCATGATCTCAAGGTCGTGAGACTGAGCCCCACATCGGGCTCAGTGCAGAGGCTGCTTGGGATTCTTTCCCCCTTCCTCTCTCTCCCTCTCTGCCCCCAATCGTGTGCGCTTTCTCTCTCTCTCAAATAAAATCTTTAAAAACATATATACACACTCGTCATATACACACACAAGCTCACTTTATACAACTCATCAGGAAGAAACAAATTCATGGACCAAGTACAATGATAACCTATAGTCCTTTCCTTTGGTATTACCACAGTGATGTTACTATCTCACAGTCATGAGGATGCAGACTCTGTAGAAGCCCATCCGCCCATCAGCGAAGACAAGATATAGATAGATAGATGATAGATAGATAGATAGATAGATAGATAGACAGATACAAGAGATATTTATATATATATATATATTTATTTATTTTTTGAGTACAAGATTTTTAGATCCATGTCCTTATGACCTATTGGCTGATATTTACTAGCGGGGTGGTTGGTCGAATCTGTGACTCTGAGGTTCTGGGTACCTGCTTGAGACCCACCTTTTCCCATTTCTATATCACTGTTCAACAGATAGAGCCCTGACTAAAAGGTTAACCAGACAACTAGAAAGGCTAATTTCCAACCCACCAAAATAAAAGAGATCGCACAAAGAATACTCATCAGCTGAAGAGCTTACAGTGGGGACAGGTCCAGCAGTAACAGCCACAGTTGCTAAGGCAGCCAGGATGACCCTGGAGAAGGTTCCTAGGAATGACCGGGTGCCCTCACCACCCTACCGTCAGAGATGTGAGTGCACACTGCCCCTGAGATCTACAGGTCTTTCCTATGGAGCAATCACCAACACACAGAGGTGGTACCTGCCACAGCACTAAAGGGACTTTGGGTAGGTGAAGGAATTAGAAACAGTCACATGCCCACCTGGGAATTACTGTAGATTGCTTTGAATGGGTCATTTAGACCTATTTGGGGTGCCTGGGAGTCTACACATCTTCAATTCTCCAAGTCCTGAAACGTGTGTGCAGCCAAACAGACCTGGGGAGCACTGACCCTGAGCCTCTGGGCCTTACCTCCACACGTCACTGCCTTTGGAAAACATGGAGGCACGAATGACTTCGGGTGCCATCCAAGCATATGTTCCTGCTGCGCTCATCTTTGTGGTTCGATGCCATTCTCGAGCCAGGCCAAAATCAGTGATCTTCAGAATCTTGTTGCTCAGATCTCCGTTCTCCACCTTCTGGAGGATCAATACTGGGCAAGGAAAGGACACAGAAGAAACCAGAAAGTCTGCATTAATCATAGGAAAACCAGAGAATACAGAGCCCTCCTGCCACACTCTTGTCCTCTCCTTCAGGCTCCCTGGGCAGCTACCATGGACTGATGGTAGGAACCATCATTTTTGGTAAGATGCACCTACGATACATCCATTTTTGTGCCAAGTCTTTTATAGGCATTATATTTAACTCACAACAACCTTAGGAGGTAGGCATCACTGCCACACCCTTTTTACAAGATGAGGAAACTGAGATACAGCACCAACTAATAATAAGTCAGCAGGCAGCTGGACTCAAGAGCCCTCTCTCTTAAGCCTCAAGGCTTATAGCCCATTCATACCCTATGGAAGGAGCCATGAGGTCACAGCTGACCCCCTCTTTGAGGAGAGCCTACCTGGGCTTCCTGTCTGCCCGGGCACCCCTGGGCCATAACCAGTCTTGGACCACAAGGAGAGGCAGTGCATGGTGGATTTCCAAGGTTTCAGACTGTGCCTGGACAGTTTCCATGAACCTCTCCAAGTCACTTTACTTAAGCCTATAAGAAAACATGTCTTTTGGGCATAGAGATTTCCCCTTGAGCTGGGAACTCAACCCCAGGCATTGAGAACCGGCTGACAAGTTGGAGAAGTCAGAGGGTACACACATGTTCACACCCACGAATCTCTGTGGATATGACCCAGGAAGAAAGAACTAGTGCCCCGAACCAGTTATATTCTGGGCCTAACACCAAAGCACCAACATGTGGAGCCATCTTGGCTCTCCAAGGACGGTAGCTGAGGTGGCCACCTCCCCCACAGGACGGTTCCAGGGATATGTGTCCCCTTGCAGGAGCCAATCTTCCTAAAAAGAGCAAAAACACTAATTGACTAAAGTGCTGTAGGCTAAGCCAAGGAACTCTGAGCCGGCGGTGGATGCACGCAACCCAGACCTCCATTTCCACAAGTAGGATGGTTCTGAAGGCGCCATGCAAGCACAACCTCCTGTGGGCCGGACAATGAACCGCCTAGAATTCAGAGCTCTATACTCAGGATTTCAGAGAAGGAAAAGGGAGTCTCTCCCCATCCCTGCTATTCAAGTCCAAATGGGGAGGGTGGGGAAAGGAGTCCACTGAAAACAGAGTAACAACTAAAAAAAGGTTGACTCAGTTCCTCCAGCCACTCGATCTAAGTAAACAATGAAAAAATGAGTTCTGAGCCCTACATGGGCCGGGTTACACCCTTCCTGGGTTGATTCTCCACTGACTCCCACTGAGGGGCTCTTAAGGTGGCTTTACCTTTACCTCTCCAAGAGGCCTTTGCAATTTAAGATTCCCTGGAGAGCTCAAATTCTTTAAGTATCCAAAGAAAGGGATCTGTGATGGTGGTACTTTGGGTACCAAGGAGGGGCTTGGGGGTGCCTTTGAGGGCAAGGACCTTAGGCAGGTCCCTCAAGTCACATACTGTATTTTCCTCTTTCTGTCCCCAGCCTGCAAACGCCCACTGAATTGCTACATATTAGAAGGATGTGGGCCAAAGATCTCTGCATCCTACGTGCTTCTCAGAAAATCAGCAGTGAAGAGGGATTACAAGGAGCTACAGAGCTGGAAGCACAAAGAAAACAGTGCCAGCCCCTCCCTAGATCTAATGGACTCGGTGTCCTTCCTCCACACCCTCTCTGACTCCCCTGACACACCCCTCCCCATTCTGACCTGAATGGATCCAAGCCTCTAAAGGCTTGGGCAAATTAAAACAACAACAACAACAACAACAACAACAAAAATCAACTTTCTCCATCTCATTGAATAACAAAAATCTTTCCAGATTCTTCTGTGCCCCTCTCCCCATCTCTGCCAGCAGAGATAACAGACAAATATGCTGGGCCACTGGCACTGAAGAAACTCACCATTCCCTGCAGAGAGGCAGCCACCAGCCACTGACCATTTCTAAGCCAAAGAAATGGTCAGCCGCTGACCCTTAAACCAAAGATTTGTTGTGAGCCCATCCGATTACACAGCCAGTAGGGTTTGGTCTTGTTACCCACCCCCCCCTCAACTCCAGGTGCTGGGACGGGGTGAGTGGGAGGAGGGTAACAGTTTCATGATACATACGGAACCAGCTGAGCTTCCACAGATTCTATGCTGGAAGGGGAAGCAAAGAAGTTTTGGTCCTGTTATAGGAAATGGATTTTTAGAAAACAAATGGCATGGTGAAGATGATATTTTAAATACATCAGTCTGTCAGATGGCTCAAGAGGGATGGTAGAATGACGGAGATGGGGCAAGAATCAGCCCAGGAAAGATCTGCCTGAATATGAATGCCTTTAGATAGTACAGGTCCAGCCCAGGTCCACCTAGACCCACCACTCCCTGCTGCCTTAAATCCAGTGGACTTCAAACAAGCTTCCCCATATGTTGGACCCCTGAAGGCATAGGAGTTAGAAATCCCTGGCCTTGAGGTCCTGACCTCAGCAAAGAGAAGAGGCTATAATCAGAAGCCAGCTAGTAATCCTGGCTACATCTCTGGATTTCTATCTAGTTCCAAAACATTTTTTATCACCCTCCAAAAGGAAATCCACACTCATCAGCAATCACTCCCCATTCTCCCTCCACCCGGCCCCTAACCGCCACCAATGTGCTATTTCTATGGATTTACCTGTTGCAGGTATTTTATACAAATGGAATCATGCGGTAGTCACACATTTGGTTATTTCACATAGCATAATATTCTCAAGTTTCCTCTATATAATAGCTTGTATCCACACGGCACTCCTTTCTATGGTTGAATAATATTCCTTTGTATGTATATACCACAATTTGTTTATCCATCTGTCCACGATAGACATTCGAGCTGTTTCCACCTTTTGCTTATTGTAAGGTAGTGCTGCTATGCACATATAGGTACATCTATTTGTTTCCGGACCTGTTTTCAGTCCTTCGGGATATGTACCTAGGAGTGGAATTACCAGGTTTTTCTGGTAATTCTATGTTTGCTGTTTTCCACAGCAGCTGCACCATCTTACATCCCCATCAGCAATGTATGAGGGTTCCAATTTCTCCACATCCTCAACACACTTATTTTCCTTTTTATTTACTTTTTAAAAATTATAGCCATCCTAGCAGATGTGGAGTCGTGTATCACTGTGGTTCTGACTTGCATTTGCCTAACGACTAATGATGCTGAGCATCTTCCCATGTGCTTGTTTGCCATTTGTATATCTTCTTTCAAGAAATGTCTTTTTGTTTTGAGTAATAAGACTTCTTTCTATATATTCTGGGTACTAAACCCTTATCAAATATATGATTTGCAAATATTTTTCCCCTTTCTGTATGCTGTCTTTTCACTTACCTGACAATGTTCTTGGATGCACAAAAGCTTTTAACTTAGATGAAGTCCACTTTATCTGTTTTTTATTTTGTTGGTCATGCTTTTGATATTACATCAAGGATTCCATTGCCAAATCCAAGTTCATGAAGATTTACCTCTGTGTTTTCTTTTAAGAGTTTTACGGGATCAGCTCTAATATTTAGGTCATTGACCCATTCTTAGTTTATTTTTGTGTATCACATAATGGTGTTCAACCTCATGTGTTGGCATGTGACTATCCAATTGTCCCGTTTGTTAAAGAAAAAGGTTTTACTTGTAAAAACAGAATGAAGTAGCTCCCTCCCAGTACACTTTCCCTGGGGAGAGAAAGGTTCTAATCACAGCAGCTTACTCTTCTGTACCACGGCAGTTAGACCCTTCTGAGCTTCTACCACTGACAAACAGCCAGAGCAAAAACAAATCACTGTGCTTTAGTTCTTAGAAAATTTAAGAATGTTTTATCAAAATCTAATGAAGTCCATCCAAGTGTATTGTGTAAAGCTCACCTCTCACGGGTAGGGCAGTGGAGCAAGTCCAGGCTGTCAATGGGGGGCTAGCCAGGTACGGCGAACAGGGAGGAAAAGGTGCATCTGAAATAAAAGCCTTAGTGACTAACCCGAGAGAGAGGCTTGATGGAGAAGGGAGAGGTTCCCAGCCTTTCAGATGTGGGTGACAAGTAGAATGGTGGCACCCCTGATTGAAGTTGAAAGGCAAAGCCCTTTGAGGAAGCCAAGTTCAATTTGGGATGTAATGGATATAGGGTGACAGTAACAAGAGTCAGGATGGATCAGAAAAAAACCCAAAAAGCAGACAATTTAGATCCTAGCCTTGACACCCTACATGTGACCCTGGACAAGTTTTAGAAACTCTGCACTTCTACTCTCACTTCTATAAAATGGGAATAAAGATTAAAGACGATGTAGGGGCGCCTGGGTGGCTCAGTCATTAAAGCGTCTGCCTTCGGCTCAGGTCATGATCCCAGGGTCCTGGGATCGAGCCTCGCGTTGGGCTCCCTGCTCGGCAGGAAGCTGCTTCTCCCTCTCCCACTCCCCCTGCTTGTGTTCCCTCTCTCACTGTGTCTCTCTCTGTCAAATAAATAAAATCTTTAAATAAATAAATAAATAAAGACGATGTAGTAAAAAAAAATTTTTAAATAATAAACTTCCTCTCCTCCTATATAAATTAAATAAATTAAATAATAACTATTAAATAATAATAAATTAAACTAAAAAAATAACTTCCTTCTCCTCCTATATAAAAAAAATAAATAAATAAAGGTGACGTAGTAACGAAGCACCTAGCAGAGTGCCTGACACCTAAACAGGGACTTGGGACACTACAGCTATTATTGTTACTTTGATGATTAAACATCTCATACATAAGTGTAAGCCATGGGACTCGGCATCCAAGGTACTGAGGACACTGTGGGAAGCCTGGGAGTCGCTGACAGATGATAACCATGCAATAATTTTTTGCTGTAGAAATAAATGGAATAGTTGATAAATTAATAATGCTAGCTACCCATTATTGATCCCTTGCTATGTAGTGGCATGATGCTCTTTGCATAATGTATATAAAGAGCTTCACATACAATGCCTTAATCCTTAAATCAACCCTATGAAGTAGGTGCAAATAT